TAAACACCATTGTTTGACATTTAGCCAAAGTGAAAATACCAAAAGAGTCAAAGTATCTAATGCATTACATCCTTATTAAATAAGTTTAAGCAGAGCACCTTCCTACTTTTAGTGTTCACCCTGAGCGGGCACACATCTTCATGTATGACTGATAATCGATGGCATTCTTAGTGCAATTTATGAGATACATTATCTTTCTACTAAAGCTTGAACAGCAAAGACTTGAGAACTGGTGATAAAAATTGCCGTATTGATTATCACGCATCAAGAACTTTCGATTGCGGAGCGAGTGAATATATCCCCCGGTTTGAGAAAAAAATAAAGAGACAAGATGAAATCCTTGCCGTAATGACTCCTTCTCTTTATTCAGACATAAAGGCAGATTTTTTGATTGGCTATTGGAAGTCCTCTGTGGGTGGTAATGATGGCACTGAATTTTAAATTACTTTATGTTAAAAAAAAACAGTAGATAAGCTGTCCCAAAGGAATTAAAAATATAAAGCATCAGCCCAAATCTTTTTTATTTTCTTTTGGACACCTAATGCAGACTAGAGTTATACTATTCAGATTTCTACTTGAAATATGTCAATAACTATAGCCCTGCCCACAATTAGTAGTACTCATCTAAAACTTGGTAAAGATAAATTCCTCATTCATTTCAATAGCATAGATTTTTTTAGAGTAACCACATAAACAAAAGATTGGTACCTCAAATAATCTGTATAACTTTAACTTTACTGTTTTTTATACAAAGCATACCTCACTCCTATTTTGAATGTGATGTGAATGCCAGGAACCTTTTTTCAATAATCATTGGCATACAATAATGTATGGTTTAAATACAATTGGACGTAGAAGCCCTTTTTTTTTGGCTACCAGCCAATGGGCATGATGAAGACCCATCTCCATTCTGTCTCCATGCACTATGAAGAGGATAGGCAAGGATATTCAAGTTTCCCCAACAATGGAAGTAAGATTTTTTATTTTTTGCATGCCAGAATAAAAAAATAAAGAAAAAACTAAAGTTTATCTTCCTACCACCACAAATGTAAAGGTAGAGAGTTTTAAAAATGGCACTGGGACTTTCAATTGAAACTATGTGCTGTGGTCACATGAGACCTATGCAAGTGACATTTTTACATGTGCTACTTTTTTCAAGCAACAGACAACCAGATGTTTACTCCCTCTCAGTAGTTAACAGTGTTAACTACTGAGAGGGAGCTCTGCTGCTAAAAGCTTGTTTTCTTTTTGTCTGCATTTTCTCAATATTTTAGTAAATAATACCTTTCATTCTTCTCTTCTGGTAAAATATCTATTAAACAAGGAATTAGTTCTGTCCCTGTGGAAAAAATAATATTGGAAGTGATAAAATACTAAGGTCCAATAGCATAATACCTGATAATACTGTAATAGTCAATAGTTTCTCAGTTTTTTGAGCTCTTAATGTAAACTACTTGCCAATAGTGTCTTAAGTTACACAACTGGCTAGTTTTAATGTTGGAGCAGTAATAAAATCCATTAAAAACTGAATCACTGTACAACACACATAGGTCACATTACTACAATCACTTCATAGTAAATAATTTAAACATATCCATACATTTCAAGATCTACATATTCAAGCCAACAAAAGCAATATTTTAATAAATCTTTGTGCTACAAATGACAACGGTAAGTTGTTGCATTGTACCTTGAAGGAATGAATATGAGAATTTTGCATTGCATAGCACCTAATTTTAATTTGAAAACTGCATTAAAAAAAGTTTAAAGATTTCGTTAAAAGGCTGCATTATTATAAGTTTGAATGCATTTATTGCATTATTACTTTCTTAATTTTCTTTTACTGAACTAATAACACAACATTACTTGGTTACCTGTTGCATTGCCAGCAAATTTTCAAAACCTTATTGATTTAAAAACCCCTTTATATTATTGGCACAGTATAGCATTGGGCTTGCATTATCAGTGTGATTTGCCTGAAAGTTTTTTTTTTATTTCTTCATAGTTATGTTAGTGTGCTATTTAAAGTTATAAAATTGTGTGTTACCATTAAATTATTGGTTAGTCCAATAGGTCATCACTACAATTCAGTGGAATGGGAATCTTTTTTGGTTCCACCATTCAGGGATTGCCACAGCAAGTCATTACAACTTGCACACAGACGTGTCAGAGTGTTTAAGCCAGTTGGCTGCTCTGCCACAATTGGGATTTCAACCCGGTTCCCCCATATCAAAAAACACGGTCTTAACCAGCAATACTACAGAAAGACTATTGTCATCCAGTAAATCATAAGATAAGGCCAAACTACACAGAAATGGTTCACCAGATGTTAACTACCATTCTTTATTGCCACCTATGTCCCTTGATTTACAATCCTTCTGAAAACATGTTGGTTAAGATGAAGATAAGGTCCAAATATCCTGAATAGCACACGTGTTTTAAAACTGAGGGGAATGGTCAAGCTCCCTTTACTTTTCTGCTCCAGCTTTTTCAAATGCTTGAGAATCAAAGAGGTTTTGTAGAACTCACCAAAGAAAATGGTAAAAAAAAAACAAAAAGTCTGAAACAAATGATTTTGATATTTGTTCAGTTTCAGTGTTTCTTCATGTTAGATTTTTTGTTTCAATCTGAGAAAATATGTTAAGGTTGTATATCTTCATTTATGAGTATGCTTTTTATTATTATTTTGGTACTTGTAGATTGCAGTGTGGGTACAAGTGAAATAGACAGATTCTGTATGCACTGCTTTTCTCATAACTGAATCTATAAAATCTGGTGTTATACGGTGTTTAGCCTATTTGACAGGACAATTATCCACTTAAATAAAATGTCACAAAACAGGTACCTAACTCTTAAGATGGATATAGAATAATATATAGTGATTTGATAAAATATTAAATAAAGATATTCAATTTCAAGTAGGTTAAAAAGATAATAAAAAAAATCTTAATTTTAATGAGGAAAAATGTCAAAATGTTGAATAATACATTCTTTAGGGATGTCTTGTTAACAGTTCCATATGTAAGTTCTTCTCATTCATTTTTTATCATCTTTTAAAGTCTTGTTGTAGCACTGTTCAAGAGAAATCCCATGTATATAAAAAAAGAAAATAAAATACAAATACTACAAATAGATATGTCTAAGAACATGTAATGGAAAAAAGTAACTGTGTTAAATAAGATTAGGATATTGGGGAAAATACCAACCTATTAATGAAAAGTTAGAGTCATATTCCCAGTAGTTTATCCATCATCTCCATCAAGATGTGGAGCAGGTGTTACTTAGACAGTCCCAAATTTATGAATCACACTTCATGAGATCACCGGTCTCATTTAACTACGCTGATGTTTCAAACATCTGTAAGTGATCATAATTTCACTTCCATTAAGTGCACATTAGCTAGAGAATTACCAGCTGAGGAGAAAGATGTCATGTAATGCATCATTCGGAGGCGTGCTTTAGTTGAATTAATTTCTTTATTGATGAAAAAGAAAAGTGGCTTGCTACTTTTTAACCATTTAACCATTCTCCTTGGGCATTGAACTTAGAACATAAATCTTGATTTATCCAGAGTGTCCCATTAAATTGTGAAGCATGGAGTTTTACTTTGTTTTTGTCTTTTCTGAAAGGGAAATTATTTAGAGGATGTCCTAAATCTGGCAATGTTTGATATAAAAAGAGTCCTTCTTCACAAACTTTTAGAGCTCAGGGACCCCAGAAGTAACAAGCACATTTGTTATTATTTATGTAAGCATGTTGTCCTCCCGTCTAATGAGCCTTTCACCGAAAGCATAATGAAACAGCTTGCATTAGCTCAGGCTAAATGAGGAGCTGAGAGTTCCCGTGTCTATGCAGCAGGATGAAAGCAGATGTTCCACAAGCCAAACATAACAAACCAAGTTCTACAAAGGAGCAGAAGGGACTTTGAGTCAGCATCGTTCTCATCAGCTCATTGAATCCATTTGAAAATGTGTATACAGCCAAAAACTAGTGAGAACAACACCTAAATGAGCCATGGCCAACAAACCATGAACAAGGCCTCAAACAATTATTTTTTCCCCTCCATGAAAACATTAGGGATGCAGAGATAATAAACCTGGAGTGAAAGTGGATGGGGATGTGATTTAAAAAGGTTTGAGTACTAGATCCAAACCTGAGAGGTCTTTAGACATTCAAGTATTAGCTTACATTATAGAAATTTATGGATATCGTGAAAGTACATATGCATAGCCTATTAAAGTGAAGAGAATGTAAACTATTTACTTTTGCATATTATATAACAGGAAAAAGGAATAAAGATAAGTGGTTTTGATTATTTATATATAGAACACATTTGGATCTACACTATTAATTTCCTGCAGAGCTCTAGTCATTTATTAAAATCACAAAGAAATATAAAGGTGGTAAATGTTACCCATAGATAATGATTGAAAAGTTTTAAGCTACATTGAAAGTCATCTATAATTATGTTTTAAAGGAACATTAAACTAGAAACAGAAATCAGTAAGGCTTTCAAATCCTTTCAATTTATAATATCTCTCCAAAGTACCACTGACACTTCCAACATTTATCTCAATTTGAGGAGTTGTATAAGCCCTGAGCTAAAAGCAATTTCTAAATAATTTTTTTTATTGAAAAAACTCAAGTTCCGAGTGAAATTAATTGTATTTGAATTTACAAAAAAAAAAGAGAGAACTGTGACATAATTTAATACATCACTGAGAAAAACAGGTAGAGACAACTTAATGTTTACATTTTTATTGAGGATGTAACATTGAAGGGATGTTATTTTTTGTAATAGAGTGGGTGGCCAAATAATAAGTAAAAATTATTTCACCTTTGCTTGTGTTTGTTACTTTAATACAATAAATGCAGCCGACATTGCTCACCAGATTTGTTTGATCGGTATTGATAACTGATTTTTGAATTAGAGTTTTTGGTCTAAATCAATCATAAAAGATAGAATGAGATGTTTTAACTTGTCTGGTTTAAAGGCTCACCTGTACCAGTCCAATCCTTTCTCGTAGTTCCTGTCAAAGAAATGTGGCTCATTTCCAACGGCTCTCACGTCTGGGTGCACCCTGAGAGCCTCCAGCAGGGCTCGGGTCCCCCCTTTCTTCACCCCGATTATAATGGCTTGAGGAAGTTTCTTCTCCCCGTAATCCGAGGTGCAGTTCACCCTGAGTTCGCTGTCCGTGGTGCTGATCTCCTGATGCACCTTCTCCGGCGCGGTGGGGCGAAACGCCGCCGCAGATTTAGTTGGAGACGCCTGCGTCCTGGTCCACTCCACAGTCCTTTGTTCGGCCTCATTGTGCTCTCCAACAGTTGGAGCCGAGGTTGTTACCTCAGCCGGTGTGAATTCCGTGAAGCCCGGAGAAGCCGAGTAAAGTTTCTCCCTCAGTGTCACAAAAGTTGTATCCTCTGTCACCAGCCTGCCTTGAAACACATAGTTCTCCTGCAGCGGGAACTGCAGCGAGTTGTAGCAGCTCATCAAGCTGTAGAACAAGTAGGTGACAGAAAGGGAGAGGGTGAACATGAATAAGATTTTCCGGGGCACTTTAGACTTGAAAACCGAAGTGCTGGACCAAAATGCCATCTCTGATAGCAGCGATCCTCTCAGAGAAGTGGCCAGACATGTTTCCACCCCGAGTCTTGCATGGACAAAATCAGCAGTAAGAATCAGTTCCCATCAGCGCAGCTCCAGCTAAAAAAGCCCCGAGCTGGACCAAACCATCCTAATTCAACCAAAGTGCATATTTACCAGGATGGCTGAGGGGGTGAATGCTCGCTGGAAGGGTCAGGGGGTATCTTGCCTCTTTTCTTGAGTATTGATTTCTTACTCCACAGATGACAGTCAATGTCACAATTTATTGGTCGGAACTTGCATATTTGAAAGACTGAAGGTCTGGCGCTCTTCCAGGTGAACAGCGCGGCTTTAAATGGACAGAGTATGATGGAATCCTGGCATTTTTTGAAGAAGGGAAAAAGAAGAAGAAGAAAAAAAAACAACGAACAGCAGAGTGTTGAAAGTACAGGTTTCTTCTAATAAGCCTCGGAGTCTAAATTCCAGTCCGATCTGCGATGAAAAGAGTGCATTCTCATTCATAGAGAAAACCTGCAAATCCACCGAGTCTCTCCAACGTAATGCAAATAAACACAAGATTATAAGTCCTTCTCCCTGACTACTTAGTGCTGAGGGAAGTCGACAGTCTTTGCGCAAAAGCTTACACACTTCCCACTGACTATCAGGCTGCCGCTCGGTGTCCTTACGCCTTCTCACGTTGGTAGTATCCTGTGTTCATCGGCTGTGTGAGCTCATCTGAGCTGAGGCACAGCAAAGCCACACAGCACAACTAGTGTGTACACCCACATTTCCTCGTGTCCGCTGAGAAAACAGCGCTGTAAACGTCAGATTTCCTAATCTGAGAGAGTTGTGTGATGGAGAAGCTTTCGCTCACTCCTGCGGCTGCTGGCAAAGATTAGGCTCCTGCTGCTGGAATATCAAAGAGTTTATCACAAGGTAAATAAATTTGTACAGTTAGGAGTTCTTCTATCAGATCCGTTAAAAAGACATTATTTAGATTATTATTTTTTTGTTTTTACAGAAAGCTCATGTCTGCACCCTGCTGGTTTTTTGTGGCACATTGCAATAGTTAACTTAAAAAAAGTTTTCTTTACTGTGATTTCAAACACATAATGAGCCGTATATCACTTTATTTATACTTTACTCAATAATTTTTATACAGAATCTAGTTTATTCTAATATTCTGACCTAGATGGTAACAGTTAATTAAATCATATATATAAATGACAATCACTACTTATATGAGCAAAAATAAACTGATTTAAATGACTTTTTCAGCAGTCTGTTCACATAGAATACTTAAACGAAATATGATCAAAAAGAAATGTGATCATGTTGCTCACTCGTTGAGATCAATTATTTTAAATGTAATCATTTATTAACTACAGATATTACAAATTTACATGATTGAGGGATGGAATATTGATCTTTTTTGCTTCAGCACTGTAGCTTATGAACACTTGGTAAAGTCATGAAGACAGGGTATTAGAAAAAAAAATTAGGTAACCTGCTGCACAATTTCGGTAAAACTTAAAACTTTAAATGTAATTAATACGTAAAAGACATAATAATGATCTTTGTACCAACAAAGGAGATTATCAAAAGCCAGGTTTAGGGCTATTTTGCAAAAATTGCATCTCTTCACATAGGAAATAGAAATCCTCATGGTATGATCAGCTTAAAGAGGAAATCAGTTTTTTCCTTAGATTACACAATATTAAGTTTGTTGATATATAGAGTAAATGATAGAGGGCTAAGATACTCTGATATGGAAATGACAAGTCATTAAGTTTTCATCTATAAATCTGAAAGAAAGCTTCTACAGCAAACAAAATATCTTTCATCCTACATGGTGCTGCTTTGGTTATAATACTCCTCTCATATCACACACTTACGGGCACTGACTGTAATGACTGCCTCTAATATTCAGTGGACCTCAAATTGTAACTCCGTTCCCACAATATGATGATCCCAAATTACATGTCACCCGCATGTCGCCCTGTATTAGTGGTTCTGATTCATCACACACCAGGAGATTCATTGTCACAATAAGTAATCAGTCAAAATGTATCTACAGGGATTGGTTCTCTGAGAAAAAAAAAAGGTGCTGCTGTTTTTGAACTGTGTTGGAAATGAGGAATTTATTTTTTTTTTTTTTTACAAATTAGTTGCTTGATTACATTTGTCAGTTCTAAATACCTGTTGTTTACTGAGGGGGATGTAAACAAGGGATGATGTGAAGATCTTTGGAAAAGCTATTAGTAAATGACATCAATGTGGAATGTTTCCACCTTAGCATTTAACAGATGTGCTCCCACTGACTAAGAAGACCTGCAACCGTGCAAGCTTTCACACAGAGAAAAAGAAAACATTAGTATTCCATTTCATATATTAAGTTTTCTTAAACTACACTGCAAAAAAAAAAAAAAAACTAAAAATTGTACAAAGTTCTTAAATAAATGTATTTACCATTTACTTGAGTAAATAAATGATATGATCTGTCCATGGAATGAGTATTTTCCCTTAAAATAAGATAATTATGCCTTTGATATAAAAAACTACAGTGCTTTTGTTATTTTAAATGTAAATTGTCTGTAAAAAAACTGTAAAAAAAAAAAAAAAAAAAAAAAAATGTATTCCCTGGGGTTCCCGGTGGTACAGTGACCTAGTCAGTTTGAGATAATATGCACTTTTTAAAGGAAAAATTGATAGAATATTTTTTTTGCAGGCAGGTGAGGTTTGAAAGGTAAGCCTACTCTGGATTATCTATGAGTAAGGACAGCTAAGCTCCTTTTTTTGGAAGCAAAGTTAAAGAGAGCGTAACCATGAGATGTTTGTTTATTCCTGTGTAGTAGAGGAAGTTATCAAATGATTTTGACACTTAATTTGTTATAAAAAAACAAACAAACCTTAATGTATTTACAAAACACAATTAGCTTAATTATGGTTTTGTTATCGTACTGTACATAACATTATTTTATGAAAAATGTATCTATACAGTGTGATTTAAATGTTATCAAATTTCAAAAATCTATTTATGTTTAATGTGTAGATAAGTGGTTGTTTTAAAGTACTCCAACGCAGATTATGCACTGTATTTAATAAGTTTCAAATGTGTCTCTGAAGAACAAGTTTAATCTTTTTTTCTAAATAAGAACAAGACAACATTCTCTTAAAATGAGTCTAAACTAAAAAGGCATATCCTGATTTGAAATATCGCATGTGTGACAAACAAGAGCTTGCCGTAGCGCTGCAGGTGATTGGGTGAGTGGGAGGAGAGCATGGGCAAGTGTTTAGAGCACAGTGGTTCCTGGATGTTTTGCTGTCAAGAGAGCGTAGGAGAGCTCAATGGGTTTGTTCAAATTGCTGTATTCGTAAATTGCCACTTGGTGAAGCAGAGAGCTCTCTAACACCAACTGCCACGTTTGTAAGGTCCTGCCGTTTTCCAGCTACCTGTCTAAGAGCCACCCATACAGAGTTTTGTGGGCATGCTCAGACTACCTTGGTATGAAACAGCTACAGCATAACGTCTCAGTTAACAGGACGAGTATGCTTTATTAAGACGGCTGCAGCTCCTCTGAGCTGCTGATAAATTACAATCTGACTAGGAGAGACAATATATTGAGCAGTTTGATCTCCCCTTTGTTGTGCATGTTATCGCAGCCATTCATAAATCGCTCAGACATTGTGTGTCCCCATGGGGGATGAGATAGTGTCTATTTGCGTTTACAAATAAGCCCTCACTAAAGAAAGATTGAGTTCAATGAAGATGAGCTCAGGGCTAGACATCCTCATTGCATAAGCTTCTGTAAGTCAGGTTTAAAGACCAATGTCAAAATCACCTTAAGGCAACAGGTCTTTACAGAATTAAACATATTATGGCTTAAATCAACATCTGATGGTATGCAGATGGAAATATATAGTGGTGTGTACATTTAGTAGCACACTCCATGATACACACAAAAAACATTGTTAATTACAGTTCTTATTCCAGCCTTTAAATTAAATGCATTGTACAGTGGAGGGTAATGAGTATATAAACAGCTTTTTTTTCTATTATCTCTGATGCCAACCCTAATATATTTTGTTCAATGTCAGGTTTTTGCTTATAGAAAATAAAAAAAATTCTCCGTCTTAAAACTTTGGACCATAGTGGGAAAAAAATATCAAATGTCTTTTAGGTTTTTATTTGTTTGGTAAATCATTTTCTTCTTAAGATTCTACCTGATCTTTATTTCAAATGTTCCAATATTTTAAAGAACCTACAGTATTATGCCATGTACAGTACTCCAAGGTTTCCCAGACCATTGAAAAACTAATAAGGCTGAAAAGATATTAGATCCTCCATCATACCTACAGTAACAATAGGCATGAGGATAGTATTCCTTATGTTCATTCGTTTCATACCAAATGCAAAATGAGTGTCATTGAGTCAGTGAATCTTAAGCATGTATTCAAACTGTTTTTTATTTGCCATGTAGGCTGGAATAACAAAAGATATGTAACTTAGTCTGAGTAGAAGGAAATAAAGTGGAACATTTAGTTCTTTCTTGTCTATAAAGTATTATGTCAGTTTTTAGGTGCTCCAGATTTGAATAGAATATATTCATCTTGTTTAAGAATTCAGAATATGATGCTTTTGAATTAACTTATGTATTTATTTTAATAGTTAGGGACAAAACGATTGTGTGTCAATTAAAAGTAAATGCTAAACAACTGGCCTAATGTAGTCAGATAATTACCAGTCAAAGTTAACCACAAGTAACGTCCGTGAGAATGACAAAAGCATCCAAGTTGAGTTGAATGAAGTATTATTATTATACTGTAGAGTATTGTTAGCATGACATCATTCACTATAATATAGCTCAAGTAAGCAGCTCTCATGTTGTACTATAATGCTCAAAAATCAGATTTTGACTGCATCTCAGAAGACCTTAGAACACATATTAGCATAGATCAGATATCTCTACCAATTTATGTTGTCCATACTATATTCAAAATGTAAAAATGTGTAGTTTGTAAAACAGAGCTATCTATCTGATTCATTGCAAATACTAAAAGGGAGTAAGGTTCAGCAGCAGGTTTTTATTGGTCAAGATAAGAAACAAAAACTGTTTTATGTTTTTATTCAAGCACTGTTTTATTTTACCAGAACAAATTAACTGTAAACAAATTGCTTATCGTGGAACCAACAGCATCCTAAAGAACAGGCATACTCTAATTTATGCATGTGTTAATGGAGTATCAATATTGGTACAGAATTTCTTCAAGATGTGATTCAGAATGTATTACACAAAGGACTCTCAGGAAATCTCAAACCCCTAAAACTGTAACTCACTTTCTGTCCAAATTTGTAGAATTCAACAAACATGATGTTCCTGTGCTGTCAGTGTAAAATACATCAGCCCTGAGGCACACTCTCAATATAGTTACAGCTCAGGAGCTGCTGCAGCACCTTTGAGATTTGGGTCTTCTGCTAAGAAATGACCTGATTCTGAACTATGGTGGAAGTGAGAGATTCAGGTACTGGGTGCTTGTTTTTGGCAGATCTATCCATCCAGAGTCCTAAATATATTATTTATGTTATTATCTGGAGCTGAAACTAATCAATTGGGCTGCTAAATCACGAAAAATGAATAAATAAATAATCTTGAAGACACTCTGATTAAACTAGCATTGACCAATCCTATACCTGTGAAAGATAAATAGGTAACATACTTTGTATAGTAAAACAACTGAAAAGATTTAAAAAAATTAACATTTGTCTCTCAGCTGCAAGACACAACAATCCTCAGATTAAGAAATGAAGAATCGATAAGACTGTTATTCGGTT